ACAACAACAAAAAAAAGCTCAAGCTCGACTTGTCAAAAAACTCGAGCTTAAAATACTTGAGTTCGAGCTTTTCTCGAGTCGGCTCAACTTGTTTACCAACCCTAATCTTGACACTCAAAAGTGAGGCATAAATTTATGATTAAATCAATTCTATTTGCGTTACAATTTATTTATCGAAATAATCGAGCTCTCAATTTCACCACCATGACCTTAAAATTAATAAGTTGAAGTTCAAATTTGGTTCAATAGTAGCTAATAAATAGGCATAAAGATATTTAGTTTTAAAATGTATGAATTAATGACGTAATAAATATACTCATACTGCAAATTGCAGTTTCTGAAAAATCAAATAGATCTCTCTCAGTGACATTTCACCCATAACAATAAACACAACTAGACAACAATAATTATAATAAAGGATAAATTACAAACACCCCTGAGGTATGGTCAATTTACAAAAAACCATCTTGTTTGGATAATTACATCTACCCTTCAACTATGATTTTTTCTTACACCTCCACCCTTATCGTGTCAAATTCAACATAATCATCTATATTTCGTGGAATGTGCTCTAGTTTGTACTCGTTTTGTGTAAAAATACAGTTTCTGATGCACCACAATCTGATATATACAAGCCAAAAAACACATATTATGATCATCTTGCTTCAAAATGTAGAGTTCGAATGGGATAAAACGGGTACAAAAGCAGGGGCGGAACCAGGATCAAAATGTAGGGGGGGCTAACTAAAATTTTGCAAAAATAAGTTTATATTACTATTTTTTTATTAAAATATCATATATATTATAATTATATCATATTTTAATCATCACACAAAATTCTAAATTAATTTAAATTATTCTAATAATGTATTGCACTTAATATTTCGTGGATTCATGGCACGATCTCAAGGCATTGATAAAAAAAATTCAAAAATAAGTAATATTCATAAATTTTATTTAAAATAATACAAGGTTTAAGCATCTTATTTTATATTTTATATTAAAATGATATATTTATCTATAATTTATATAAGATTATGAAGAAGAAACAAAAAAATAATGGATTAAGACACATATTTACAAAAACTTTAGGGGGGCCAAAAGTAATATTCAAAAAATACAATACCAAATACCTAAATTTTTTTTTTTTTCTTGGGGGGTCAACAGCCCCCCCCCCATTGCATGTACTGCCCCTGTACAAAAGTGATTATATTCCATATAATCTCGAAGATTCCACTAAATTTGATGAGTTGAGGGGTGGTTGTAATTATCCAAACAAGAGGGGGGTTTTCATAATTTGACCATACCGCAGGGGTGGTTGTAATATACCCTATAATAAAGATAATATTTAAAAAATGAATATTAAAAAAAAAGAGGCCGAATATACAATATATATTGGGCTTCAACTGATGAGGCCCATTTATGTAGCAATGTATATATATATACTCTTTAACAAAGGCTAAAAAGGCCCAAACCGTATCCTAAAATTCGCCAATATTTAATATCAAATAAAAAAAAAAAAATTGACAATCCTTGAAATGGAAAATGGATGACTATTGATTTTTATAATTATTTATGTATTAAAATAAATGGACTATTGATGTATCGAATATGACGGAACCAAATACGTGACACTAATTCTAATATCACTTGTAGGACCTCAGGCGCTACCAATTATTTTGAAATCGACTATTGTCAGAAAACGCGCAAATCTTAGTGTGCATGTTTCACGGCTCACAAAATTCAGTTGTGGCCCACTGTACTCGGTTCTCCATCACATGGACAATTGTTGTCAAATCCAGGCGAACAAAAACGATTCTCAGTTCCCCATTATTGACTATCGATGTTTAAAATTAGTGCATATTTCGAAATGTGTGATAGTAGCCATAGTTCATAGCAAATATAATTAAATATATTAGCTACCCAGTGCACAAGGCTACCATAGTTGTTTACACCTTACAATATGGTTTGTAAGATATTAAACGAGAGTATAGGTTTACATATATGTGCGGGTTCTTTCTTTACAGACAAAAAAATATATATTACCTATCGTAAGAGATTTCATGAGAGCTGCTTATCTACTTATGTAACGCCAATTCTTTTTCAAAGAAAGGAACTTGTTGCGTATTCTAATTTGTTTTTTACAAACAACTTTTTTTTTTTAATATAAAGAAATTAGAAAAGTGAATTGTTAAAGAAAGAAAAAATATCTACAACTAAATTGTATATCGGTTATAATTAATAAACATTCCTTATAAAATTATTAGGCATATGTACTTATTGTTAATGATCAATAATTACAAGACAAAATCCCCGACGTACTATTTAATATTGGGATAATTAGCAAGACCCCATCTAGGAAAATGAGTTAAGAAAACACCCCCTCTAAAAAATAATTAGAGAAACCCCCCTAGGTAATTTTTAACCCAATTTATATTTTCCTAATTCCAAAAACACCCTCACTTTTATTAAAGCCCTTTGTTCACGCTTCACGTCTCTGTTTCAAACCCCTGCTTTTGCTGTTCACTGTGTCAGCGGGGACTGACGTGGAGACGTGGCGGCGGCGACGGCGACGGCGACGGCGACGGCGACGGCGACGGAGATTGAAACAGACGAGGAAGTTAACTGCACAAACGGCGACGGACATTGAAACATACGGTTCGATTTTTTCGTACTGATTTTCGAAAATAGTTTTTTGTCGATTTTGGTATGTGTTGTAAGGGTTAAAATGATCACGTTCGTTTCGTTTTTTCAATTTTTTGTTGGTTTTGTTTGTTACCCGTATATGTTTTTGCCCGTAGTGTGGTTTGATGATCCAATGCTAATTTCCTGTCGTTTTTGTGCTAAAAGTCGATGTAAACAGAGTCTCTGTTTGTTCATCTGTGTAATTATGTTAAACTGGTCCCTTTTTTGTAGCTGCTATGTGTAAACAGAGACAGCTTGATCTGTTTGCTATGTAATTTCATAGTCGTTTTAATATGCGCATAGTCGATTTACTGTGTTTTTTTACTGTAAAGATGTTGATGAGTCTAAGCGAATTTTCCGCCGATGTTTTTTTGCCTTTGCAACTTGCTTGGTAGGATTCAAGTCATGCCGCCCCGTGGTGATGCTTGATGGGACTTTTTTGAAGGGTAAGCACAAGGGGATCCTGTTGAGTGCTATTGGGAAAGACGGTGATGAAGGTAAACTGTGAACATGCAATATTAATGCACAGTCAAATAGTATATGCATAGTCGATTGATGTTTTCTGTGTTTTTTTGTTTTTGTAGGTCTGTTTCCTATTGCTTTTGGAATTGTAAGTGAAGAAACTGATTGTAACTGGTCTTGGTTTTTGAACCACTTTCGAGATGCTGTTGGGACTGACCGGTCGTTGATTTTTGTTTCGGATCGTAACCATGGGATTCTTGAAGGAGTTAAGCAAATTTTTCCAGATGCTTTACACGGCTACTGTTACAAACATTTGACTCGCAATTTGCAGCACAGGTTTAGGGGTGTTGCTCCAAACTTTCGTGACGCGGTACTGGCACAATTTGCAAATTGTGCTTATGCGGTTACGAAGGAAGATTTTGCCCGCTGTATTCAGAAGTTGAGAGCTATTGGTGGCAAGAAAGTGTGCAATTTTTTAGATGGTATTCCAAATGAGAAGTGGGCAAATGCACATTTTGAGGGTCTGAGGTATGGTCAAATGACATCGAATGGGTGTGAGTCGTGGAATTCTTAGGTTGACGATGAACGGTACCTGCCTATTACTAGCTTGATTGACAGGATTAGAATGTTGTTGATGGAGCAACTTAGTGATCGACTAGGGGATGGAAATAGGTGGACAACTGTGCTGACCGAGTCCGTTGACAAAAAAATGAGACAGCTAGTTGATAAAGGGAGGACATGGGAACGTAAAAAGTCGTCGGAAACTGTGTATGAAGTTTTATCGACGCCGAATGCTATTGTGGATCTGCGAGAGAAAGTGTGTTCGTGTAAGCTTTGGCAAATCAACGGGCTTCCATGTGCACACGCTGCTGTTGTGATTTTCTTAGAAATAGGTGGTGGTTACGAATATATTGATAAATGGTTTCATAGATCAACTTTTGTCCAAAGTTATTCTGGTTCAGTTGTGCCGTTTGTTAGACTGGATAACGACAGTGCAGATAGTGACATTGGGCCACCTAAGTATCATCCATCCCGTGGCAGGCCTAAACGGAAGAGGATCCCTTCTAATGGGAAGTTTACATCTCGAAAAATGAGATGCAGCCGTTGCAAAGAAGTTGGGAATCATAACAAGAAAACATGCCGGAAATGATTTTATTATTCTTGAACCTTCACAATTTTTATGATGTTTTTCCACAAAATACAGTGGGGTTTATTCTGTTATTGAACTGCATAGTTGATTAGTGAAACAATAATAGTCGATTAATGAAACCATTATATGTGGTTCATAGTTTTAAGATTTTTTTTAGTAGTTTGTTTCTTTTTGAACTTATGTTTTTATTGTGGGTTTTTCCAGTGGGACAAATGTTTTTTATTGTGGTTTTAGATTTTTTTCACAAGGGAGCAATTTTATTCTGTTATTTAACTACGTAGTCGATTAGTGAAACCTAATAGTCGAATAGTGAAACATTATATGTGTTTCACAGTTTTACACATTTTTATGGTTTTATGATTGTGTTTTTGTGAACTTGTGCATTGTTTTTTAAATGGGGACAAAATGTTTTCAGTGATACATAAATTTCAATACATAAATTTATGAATTCTACATGTTTCTGAATAGTTAAACAAGGATAGTCGATTAATGAATTCATTATATGTGGTTCATAGTTTTAAGATTTTTTTTAGTAGTTTGTTTTTTTGAACTTATGTTTTTATTGTGGTTTTTTTCAGTGGGACAAATGTTTTTTATTGTGGTTTTAGATTGTTTTTCATTAGGGAGCAAAATGGTGTCAGCATGGGACAATTTTATTCTGTTATTGAACAACGTAGTCGATTAGTGAAACCTAATAGTCGAATAGTGAAACATTATATGTGTTTCACAGTTTTACACATTTTTTATGGTTTTATGATTGTGTTTTTGTGAACTTGTGAATTGTTTTTTAGTGTTATAAATGGGGACAAAATGTTTTCAGTGATACATGAATTTCAATACATAAATTTATGAATCCTACATGTTTCTGAATAGTTAAACAAGGATAGTCGAATAGTCGAATAGTTAAACAAGGATAGTCGATTAATGAATCCTACATGTTCTTAATACAAGAAAGACTATTAGACAATACTAGTTTTTTTTCAACAATACATAAATTTCAATAAGCTCTCAAGCATTCCTTGCTGGTTTGGTGTAGTCTTTGTCTCCACCATACTTTAAGAATGTGTCCACGAGGTCCCCACGTAGCTTTGGTATTTCTTTCTTCATGTCCTTTGGGGTGTCGAGTGGATGTTGTAAGAAAAGTTGCTTGATCAGGTACAAGACAAAGAAGCCACAATCTCTTCCATTATTTTGCTGCGGGGAAGATATCACGTCAACAATAGGCATGTCGAAGTTGACGTCTATGTTGTACTTTGCAGCTGACAGCTTCATTGCTTCCTTCTGTGTTATAAGCAACATGAAATTTAGAGTTAATTGTACAATATCAATCAATTTTTTTTTGCTTTTTTAAGTACTATATTTTGCTAACCATGTCTAATGCGTCGATAAAATATTTGTCGGAAGTGGAATCCATCTCATCACTCTTCCTTCTCGGACGCAATGAGTTGTAGTAACTCCATGTTTCTTGTAGTCTGTCGAAAACAAGCAGAGTGAAGTGGTTTGCCACCTTGTTTGGATTTGTACCTGAATGCAACAGGAATATAATGTATCTGTGATCGTCCAAATTCTGGGGTAGCTCGAACATTCTGTCTGGTCTGTTTGGGTGCCTAATATCATTCTGTGAAACAATATATATATAGATTAGTGTTTTGCGCCAAAAAATAATGTGATTTTTTTTTTGATTAGTTTCCGATTCAACTATCTTACCAGAAGCAAACAAGGGAAAACATAGCTTTCCCCACTCAAGTCAGGATGTGCTCCATGTTTGAATTTGCCGTTTGCTTGCTCAATCATCAAAATCTCACATAAGGAGTCTAATGGCTTTTTTTTTCATGAAAAGATAACAGAGCATTAAATATTATATTGCATTTATTAGAATAATTCTTTTTAAATTTACTTACTACGCTGTAGATCATTTCAATCCTTAAGATGGTGAACAAGTCTTCAATCTGCACAATTTTTTTGCCATCTGCACTTCTCCAGTACAACCGTCTGTGCAAACAACAAGTAGATATTTAATCGACCATGGCTTATAAGTGATAGTTGATTAATATTCATATAACACAGTCGATTAATACAAAGAGTTACTTACCCCATTTTATCTCCAGATGTGGTTGCTATGAAATTGAGCAGTTGCTGGCCAGTCTCTGTCATCTGCTTGTAGGCTATGTAATTCTTGTATGTTTTTGGAACTTTCAAAACTGTTCTAGGTGAGACGGTGGATTTTTTTGCTCGTGTGCGCCCAACGACAATGGATTTGGGTTCAATTTCTTCCATAAACACGTTCACGGCGTCATCAAATTGATCGTCATCTTCTTCAGCAGGGTTTTGCTGTGGTGGTCTAGATTGTAAGGCAGTTGTGAGTTCGTTTATTATTTGTTCTTGGTCTTGAACTTTGCTCCGGAGTTTCGCCTCGTTCAGCTTGTACAATTCCACTGCCGTCATTAGATCAATCATCCCGAGGTCCTTTTCATCAATGGCAGATAGTGGCAACTGTGAGAATTCTTCTCCATGGGTTATGATTCTGGTCCCTTCTGAGTGGGAGAAAGGAACGTGAACGATGGACAATCATCCATTTGGGGGCTGCCATCTGGTGTATGGATGGTGTCGGTTCGGCTCTGTTTTTCTTTCTCTTCCATTTGAGCACGGAGATCGTTGTTAGACTGTTGTAACTCTTGATGCTGCTCTGTGAGGGTCTTCAGATTGGCCTTGAGTTCATCCACTTGTTCGTTCAACACCGCATTTGTTGCACCAAGAAGATCGTTGTCAGTTTTCAATTGGTAGTTTTCTGCCAATAAATCAATGGTCTTTACGGTCTCATCCGTGAGTTGGTCTTGCGTCTGTTGCAGCGTTGGTGCCGATGATGTTGGACTCAGTTTTTCCACCTCTGTTTTTCTTGCTAACTGCTCCCTGAGTATGTTGTTTTTTGCTTCCAAGTCTTCCGTCATTTTTTGGAATTGTAGCGCGGTCACAGTCATTGCAGCAAGGTCCGCTGACAGCCTGACGTGTTGTGCCTCCTTCTCCTTCAACTTTTTCATGAAGTTATCTGGAATCCTGTTTATCAATGCAACAAGTGGTGTGTCTTCATCGGACATTTGATCTGATTCTGCATCCCTCTTGTGTTTGCCAATACGACTGTCAGCATTGCCCTCCATGTCCTCTGTGTTTTCTTTCAAATCATAATCGACGTGCTCTTGATCCTGCATAGTATAGATTTGTGACTCTCTTTCCCTTATGACGAGCTCATGTTCGTCAATGTCGGCGTCAAGTATGTCCCTGATAGCTAAGTTCTCAAGTTTATTGCCGAGGGTTGGGAGATGCCCTTTTCGGAACCTTGGGAATGCATTTGATTGTAAAGGCTCAATCAGTTTAATCCTCTCACAGATCCAGAACTACAAAAAGAAAGATTATATTAGTAAATACATTAAACAGCTATTTTATAAACATTTTACATAGTCGATTAATGCATGTGTGTAATTTTTTCGTACCTGTAACAGTGTGGTGCATCCCTTAACTTGCGTTACTTTTTCTTTATTTTGGACATAGTCAATAAGGAAATCGACTACGCACTTCCCCCAATTGTAAACCGCCATGGCATCAATGTCTTCGCATAAATGGAAGATCCACCAATTAACGAGCTCGCCAGCTGTCGCAAATAAGCATGTTGCCAGGACGTGCAGGATGACCATGCGTACAACATCTTCAATGTCTTGTTGTTCGGTGCTCCGAAGATACTTGAGGAGTTCAATCTTCACGTTGTACAATTTTAGCTTGTCGTGATCATGGAATTTACGCACAACAAGCCCAAAATCTGGTTTTGCGGCTCGTCTGGTAATGATGTTTGTTGCGCCGGATTTGATTCCAAATATTAAATCGCATTCATTTGGTGTAATAATCAATTATTTACCCCCAATTACGAATGCGTTTTTTGCCTTGTCGTACAACAGCAGTAGTTTTGCAACCCCCTTCTGCGTGCATGTGACTTGGTGTAAAGATACCTTCTTGAGGGCAAATGGCAAGATGAGGCGGTAGAAAGGAGTTCGCTTAAGGCAATCGAGATGCTCCTTTCGAAGATCGATACCTTTGAAGAAGTCTACCGTTGATTGCAGACTTGAACGGTACTGCCTCGTCCAAGAGCCCTCCTTAAGTAAACTATCTACCAATAAATTTGCTTCATCTGCAAACAAAAAATGATGTTGTTAGACTATCAGATAACATAAGAGTTGTCAAGATAAAGTTTAATTCATCTATCAAATCACACTAATCTACTATGATATAAGTGCAGTCTGCTCAGCACATATACTTCAATATCTCTTTAGCAGGCTAGTTAATCGACTATACAAATCACACACTAATCGATTATTATATAATCACAGTGCTCAGCACACATACATCAATTTATCTAGCATACGACCAGACGTCCAATAAATCAAATATAAAAGGCTCACAGTAATCGACTATGATATAATCATAGTTTTATCAGCACACATACTTCAATCCTAGCATACGACTAGACGGCTAGTAAATCAACTATACACAGCATACGGCCAGGCAAATCACACACTAATCGACTATCAACATTTTCAAATTTTTAAGGGGGTTTCTTACCAGCATCAAGTTCCCGTATATCTTTTAGCTTTCTTCTTACTTTTGCCAGTATAAAAAGAGAAAAAATGGCGTCATGCACAGCAAAATTAGGTTAAATAGTTGAATAAAATGTAGAAGCCTGATAATCACTTACGGCTTGATTTTTCTTTAGTCGTCATTCTCTTTGTTTGGTTCGATTTTTTTGTTTCGCGTTGATGCAGCGGCGGCTTTGTTTCGAGGAAATGGTGGTCATACAAGGCGACTACGGCGGAGGGAGGAAGCGTGGGGCAGGGCGGAACCCTGGGTAGTCGACAACGGCGACGTTGTTCCTGGTTATATCGAAGCCGGAACCCTAATCGATTGCAGAGACGTCGTTTTCCTTGAAATGGCGGTGGGAGAAGACGATTACGGCAGACGGAGGAAGCGTACGGTGGGGCAGTTTCTGGGGGAGGAAGACAGGGGAGGGTTTTTTTGCAGACTTCTGATTTTTTTTTTTTTTTTTTGATTTTTTCACGTTTTTGCAGGAGCGGGAGATAGGGTAATGAGGTTCCAGGGGCAAAATTGGAAAATAAGTGGCTGAAATCAGAACATGGGCTTTTCTCAAATGGTCTAAAATATTTTGGGCCTATCTCCATTAAAAAAAGTAATTGGGGTTATGTCAAAGAGCCCCTTTAATATTTTATTAGCATATGATATTAAAAGCCCCATAAATAATTTATGGTAACGGATATTCTTAATTTGGTGAGTAAGAATGAAATTTATGAAGTATAGACAATACTTAGTGTTGACTTCATTGACTTGACTTATTGACGTTACTAATTGATATATACGCATTAAATATAACTACTTTCCATTTTTGTAAATATACACAATAATGCAATTTCAATTAAATATTTCATTTAATGCATAATTATCTAAATATAAATATATATTATGGGTAAATTATGGCCACCCCTGAGGTAAGGTATATTTACGAAAAATTCCCTCTTGTTCGCATAATTACAATTACCACCTCGACTATAGATTATCTTACACCTCCACCCTTACGATATCAAATTTATCTAGAGGTGTTTATTCGGCCGATAAACTGATCGAATCGAACCGAACGAATATCCGTACATGCCGATTACCAAATTACTGTTAATTCGGTGTGGTATTTAGTTTTATTTAATTATATATATGTTTATAAATGTAATATTAGTATTTAAACTAAAATTAATTAAAAAAATCAAAAGAATCAAAAAAAATCAAAATTTTAAATATCATTGATAAAATTTTGGTAATTCGGTTACATATCGAACCAATCGTTAAACGGTATAAAATTTTGTCATAACCCGCAATTTTTGTACAATTTTTACCAAATAAATGCTCCTAAATTTATCAAAATGAGTGATTTTCTTTTCATAAAATAATACATAGTTGAGGAATGTGCTTGTAATTATGCAAACATGATTTGAAAATTGACCTTATTTGGGGTGCTCGTAATTTGCCTTATATAAATATAAAATCTGTAATTCTTTGAGGGGTAATATATATATATATATATATATATAGATATATATATATATATATATATATATATATATATATATATATATATTTCGCTGTCATTATAAATACAGATTTAACAAAGAAGTCAAAATCAAAAAAATCACAGAGCAATGGACTTCATTTCAATAGCGTCGCTATTTCTCCTCTTTCTCGTCACTGTTTTGCTGACAAATCTGCACTCCACCAAACGGCGCCGTTTTCCTCCCGGGCCCAAGGGGTTTCCGGTGATCGGCAACATGGGCATGTCCGGCGAACTCAACCACCGCGGCCTGGCGGCGCTAGCCAAGACCTACGGCGGCCTCTTCCACATGAAGATGGGCCGCATCCACATGGTGGCCGTCTCCACGGCGGAGATGGCGCGTGAGGTACTCCAGACCCAGGACCACGTGTTCTCCAATCGCCCGGCGAACAACTCCATACGCTACCTAACCTACGACCGAGCTGACATGGCGTTCGCCCACTACGGACCCTTTTGGCGGCAGATGCGGAAGATCTGCGTCACAAAGCTCTTCAGCCGGAAACGGGCCGGGTCGTGGGCTTCGGCCCGTGAAGAAATAGATTCGTTCGTCAAAACCCTAGATTCCCGGGTCGGGTCGTCGGTCAACGTGGGCGAGACGGTACTTGGGTTGACCAAGAATATAACTTACAGGGCTGCGTTTGGCTCCGTCTCAAGAGATGGGCAAGGGGAGTTCGTGAAGATCATGCAGGAATTTTCGAAGCTTTTCGGGGCTTTTAAATATCGCCGATTTTTTTCCGTGGTTGGGGTGGATGAACGGCCGGGATTTGAACAGACGACTCACCAATGCACGTGGTGCACTCGATGGATTTATCGATAAAATTATCGACGATCATATAAATAAGAAAAATCGTAAATGCAATAATAATAATAATTCCGAGGAGGAGGGGGAGGTCGAGGATGATATGGTCGACGAGCTCATGGAATTTTACGATGAAAACGGGAATGCGAACAACGATTTGAAGTCGTCGTCGATTAGCATTACTAGAGACAACATCAAGGCTCTTATCATGGTAAGAATTTTTTTTTATATTTTCTCTCTATTTATATTTTTTTTCTTTCATTTTCAATGATATTCTTTGTTTTATATTTATTTTTGTTTTTATATTTATTCTTCGTCGATTTTCGAACAATATTTTTCAATCTGAAATTCCGACTTCAGTTTTTTCCGAAACTATTTGAATTGGAATTGGAATATATATGAGATTCTGATTAAAGTTCTGAAAATAATTCCAAAAATTCTGATTTTTTTTTCCTTACGAATATTACATTTAAAATACCAATATTAATATGCATTTTATATTTGAGGTGAGAAAAAATTGAAAAATTTCCAAATTCTGTCGATTTCGACCCAAGATCCAAAATATTTCGATTTTGGAACAAGTTTTTTCGTTCCAATTTCCGAAATTCTGACTTTCCGACTTTTTGGGAACAAAATTGGAACTAATTTTTCACGTGCGAAAAAATTCAATTTTATTTTTTCTTCTGAAATGGCTAATTCCGATTCACTCCGTCTGATTTACATCCCTCAATCCAATAAGTTTTTGAACAAGGTAACAATATCAATTTGCGTTTTAAGGGAAAAATAAAATTAATTTTGGGAATCAAATCATCCAAATCTTTCTTGGAAGGTTGTGATGATCATTATTGGCTTGGTTCCAAATAATAGCATTATTCACGTTATCTTCACCTAATCTTCCTATTGGACAAAACTCGTTTATATATATATATATATATATTAATTTTTAAAATTTCACGTTGCTACAGTTTTAATTTTGGATTTAAGCCATATGTATAGATATATAATAGTTTGGTGCAATAATTTGCTTCATTAGCTGCTAAATGCTAAATATGATAGTTTTGAAGTTATGTATATATGTAAAATTATATATCACATCTCGTGCCAAATGTTTGTTTATTATCTTTCTATTTAAAAAATATATTTAGTTTTCTATTTACTTCGCAGGCATAAAATTCTGACTCAGTCACTGATGATAATATAATAATAATAATAACAATAATAATAATTAATAATAATTTCTATATTCATATTTTAGGATGTTATGTTTGGTGGAACTGAAACAGTGGCGTCCGCGATAGAGTGGGCCATGGCAGAGCTAATGAAAAGCCCCCAAGACCTCAAAAAGGTCCAACAAGAACTCGCGGAAGTCGTAGGGTTTGACCGAAAAGTCAACGAGTCGGATCTCGAAAAGCTCCCCTACTTCAAATGCGTCATCAAGGAGACGCTCCGCCTCCACCCTCCGATCCCTCTCCTCCTCCACGAGACCGCCAGTGAAGCAACCATCAACGGCTACACAATCCCGGCCGGAGCGCGTGTCATGATCAACGTGTGGGCCATAGGGCGGGACCCGACCCAGTGGGCCGACCCGGATAAGTTCGACCCGTCGAGGTTTTTGGAAGACGGGACGCCCGATTTCAAGGGGAGCAACTTCGAGTACATACCATTCGGGTCGGGGCGGAGGTCTTGCCCCGGTATGCAATTGGGGCTTTACGGGCTGGAGTTGACCGTGGCCCACCTTTGCCATAGCTTCAATTGGGAGCTGCCAGATGGAATGAAGCCCAATGAGCTTGATATGAATGATTTGTTTGGGCTCACTGCACCAAGGGCTGTCCAACTTGTGGCCGTACCTAAACATCGTCTTAATATTCCATTGCTTTGAATTCTATTTTATTTAAATTAAGTATTATATTTGATTGGGAATTTTTAAATATATGATTTTGTAGGGTTTGGTTTGGTTTTGCTTATTTGGAAAAATAAAAATTATTCTTATTTAGAATGCAAGAAACAGTTCTAAAAGTGATGTGTTGCATACTTGCATAGTTAGTGTGGCCCAATCGAGCCGTTTATAATCTCTTTATTTTGTCGAACTTGCACCTAATGAAGTTCATTGGGTGCTATTTTATCCTACATGTTTATTACCACTAACCAAAATTTACACCTATTCACTGTAGTATGTGATCAGTGAGAACCTCGTACATTTTAAACTTGGCCGATTTGGTTTTAGGCCAATTGTCCAATACGGTTAACAATCAACCATAGTATTCAGACGATCTATTTTGTGTTTGAATTAATTCTGTGAAGAAAAAAGGAAAAAGTATTATGTGAAAAAAATATATTGACATTTTAGATATTATTATATTGAGATGAATATTAAAAATCCGTTGTAGTCTAGTTGGTCAGGATACTCGGCTCTCACCCGAGAGACCCGGGTTCAAGTCCCGGCAACGGAATTTTTATTTTTGGGTCCGACATTTAATTAATTTTCTAAAAAAATAAAAAATAATTACCTTTTTTTTAAGGGAAAAGAAAAATTAATTACCTTGGTACCTTAATTATCCAATTATCCGTATTTACTATTAAATACACCGACGAGGTCACGTGGGCACGTGCTTCTCCCCCAGGCTTTTTAAAAGTAAAAAAGCAAGGGCTAATTTCGTCATTCCACACACTTCTCCCTCCCAGATGCGCAACAAGTATTATAACGTTCAAAGCTCACACGGATCTTCTCTGACCTCACCTCACTGTGCAACGGTGCTACTCTGTGTGTGTATTTATGCGCACAAATATACGTGTGCATATATATAGAGAGAGAAATTACTTAGAGAGAGAAACCAGTTGCAAATGCTGAATGAAGTCCGTCGAAATTCGCTTAATTTCATATGCAGCAGGTATGATTATTTCTTTTTTTACTGTTCCATTTAATCTTTGGTAGTTTTTGTTTTCGTTAATGGTGGATTATTAATCCGCACAAAATTAATGTGCATTATTACATATCTGCAGGAGTCATTTCTCAGTACAGGTGGCTGTTTTTTTTTATTAATTTTTTATTTATTTATGAAATCGTTAAATTGGAATTATTGATGTGTTTTCATGATGAAATCCTGCATTTGCCGATGGTTTTTATGTAGTTTGGTGACGAATAATTTTTGATTTAGTTATAATTTCTCCGAATAATTACATTTTTTATTTTATTTTATAGTCTCACTGTACCTCTGTGTAGTGTAAGGCTATGAAATTATACACTCTGTATGTATGTATTATATATATGTGTCTGATTATTGGGGGTTTATAAGTACTTATTTTTTATTATTTATTTATTTTTATTTTTGTGTGAAAAAGAATAAAGAAATTTAGGATGATTACTTGGAATTGAAGCATTGTTGGGGTCCCCATTAAGCAAAGCTATCTAACCTTGAGTAATTTTCTGACTCTGTTGGAAGTAAAGTGTTAAAGCAAACATTAAGCAAAATGATTAATTACAACAACCCCTTAACAAATTCCCTTTTAGCTTAATCATAATTACATTAGTTGGGGGGGCTAATCCTTTTTGCTTAATTAGCTATTCAGCTTTCTTTGCTTGTTGCAGATTAAACAATGTGCTCGACTGCTATGCTGTAGGTCCCACTGAATAGTTTTGAACTACTACGAGTGGTGGAGGAAGAAAAAAGAAAATGGGAGAAATTGGTGCAGAAGATTTGGTGAATTGGGAGAAGCTGCAAAGTAATGGGGATGTAAGTGAAGAGAAGATTTTAGTGTTGGTGAGATTAAGGCCTTTGAGCGAAAAGGAAATCGCGCGGAACGAAGTTGCCGATTGGGAATGCATCAATTCGACCACCATTTTGTATCGGAACAGCCTTCAGGAGCGGTCCGGACTTCCCACGGCTTATTCTTTTGGTAAGTCATTTAATCCCGAAAATTCAATGATTTTTCGATTCATGTGAGAAAACTTTAGAGGGTGTTTGGCTAAACTTATTTTAAACAGCTGATAAGATGTTTTAAGAGTAAGCTGTTGCATCTTATTTTTAGGATTAATTTTTAGAGTGTTTGGATACTAAACTTATTTCCTATTTTTACTCATTATAAAATCTTAAATAAAAAGGTGGGTAGAGGTACATTTTTTAAAAAAGATCTAATTTCAACAGCTTATTTAAAAAAAAAAAATTAAGATCTTCTTTAAAAAATTACCAAAAACTTTGGAAGAGCTTATAAGCTCCTTTTAACATCTTATAAGCTTAGCCAAACACCCTCTTAATCATGTTATGAAAATCTTGGTTGTCATGTAGTTTAAACATGTACCTTTTTTTTTAATTTTTTTTTTGTGTTCGTGTTTGTGTGTGTAGATAGAGTATTTAGGGGCGACAGCCAAACGAGAGAAGTATATGACGAAGGAATAAAGGAGATTGCTCTCTCTGTTGTCGATGGTGTCAACTGTAAGTTGAGATTAATGAATTAGCTAATATTTCTTATTTATGTGTTACTGATTGGTTTCAACTAATTTCGTAAACATTTTTGGATCGATATCTATCAGCTACTGTTTTTGCGTATGGTCAAACAAGCAGCGGAAAAACGTACACGATGAATGGCATCACCGAGTATACAGTCACTGATATTTACGAATATGTACAAAGGGTAAGTAATAATTTTTCTCGAGGTTTAGCAAAGTGTGTCTCAATTTTTACTGGAAATGTTAATTAAAATTCGCTGAAATGATATGCTCTCTCTCTCTCTCTCTCTCTCTCTCTCTCTCTCTCTCTCTCTCTCTCTCTCTCTCAGCATGAAGAAAGAGCATTTGTTATGAAGTTTTCTGCAATGGAGATATATAACGAAGTTGTTAGAGACCTCCTTAGCACGGAGAATACTCCACTACGCATGCTCGATGATCCAGAAGTGAGTTTTCAAATATTAATTTCTCTTGTACGTTTACAGATGTTGCTTAATTTTTTCTTAATTTAATTTCTTAATTTTGCAGAGAGGGACTATTATAGAGAAACTCACGGAAGAAACTTTGAGGGATTGGAATCACCTCAAAGAGTTGTTATCCATCTGCGAAGGTTAGTGATATTTCATTTTCCGTCACTTAGTCTATGGTTTTATATCTTTGCTTAGTCGACAAGGTAATGCCGTATGTATTATGTGTTTGTTTTAACGTACGCGTAGCACAAAGACAAGTTGGGGAGACCTCGTTGAATGAAGCAAGCTCTAGATCACATCAAATACTTAGATTGGTTTGCTCCTCGTCGCCCCTCTCGTCTTTTCATTTATTTATTTATTTTGAAGTCTCAATTCGGCAATTTTTTTTTTATCGGATTTCTCCAGACGATTGAGAGCACTGCTCGCGAGTTTATAGGGAAGGGCAACTCAACCACCCTTGCTGCGAGTGTGGTAGAGAAAAATTGAATTTGTTGATTAAGTTTCGCTATTCGTGTATATGCTAATTAATTTAAACAGATATAATAAGTAACTTATTATATCTTTGCGTGCAGAATTTTGTCGATTTAGCAGGAAGTGAGAGGGCATCTCAAGCATTATCAGTTGGGCAAAGACTGAAAGAAGGCTGCCATATAAATCGTAGTTTACTAACTCTAAGCACTGTCATTCGCAAACTTAGGTATTGAGTTAAAGTTTTCTTTTACACTGTCATACCAAATTAGACTTGGCTACTGAATGTATAGTTGTATATAAATGTTTTCCTTTTTGTGTTTCTGCCTTAATTACCGCCTAAAAGTTTAATTGGAACGAAATTTCCGATCCCGACCATCCTGATCCGAAATTTTCCAATTTGGAACAATATTTTTTCATCCTGAATTCCAAAATTTTGATTTCCGATTTTTTCCGAAACTATTTGGATCGGAATTGGAATATGTATGAGATACCAATTTTTTAGGTGACAAAATATTCTAAATTTCCGACTTCCGCCAATTCCTATCCGAAATTTTCCGATTTTGGAACAAGTTTTTTATTCCAATTCCGGAAACTCCATTCTCGATTTTTCTCGTTTTTTTGGAACAGAATTGGAATTAGTTTTTAACTTGCGACAAAATAGATCCGAAAGGGCTAATTCCGATCTGATCTGTCTGGTTTACACCCTTAGTTCAGCCCCCCCCCCCCCCCGCTCTCTCTCTCTCTCTCTCTCTCTCTCTCTCTCTCTCTCTCTCTCTCTCCACACACATCTAATTAAAGAAATTCAAAATTAATGCAGCAAAGGAAGAAACGGGCACATCAATTACCGAGACTCGAAGCTTACACGGATACTGCAGCCTGCATTGGGAGGCAATGCAAGAACAGCCATCATTTGTACCTTGAGCCCTTCTAGAAGCCACGTGGAGCAATCAAGAAACACCCTTTTATTCGCCAGCTGTGCCAAAAAAATATCCACAAGTGCTCAAGTCAACGGGGGCATGTCCCAAAAGGCACTGGGCAAACATCTGCCAAAAAAAGTTGCCCGGGTGGAAAACGAATTTAAGAGTACCCCCGGACCTCCCGTGTGGGACCACGGCGCTTTTTTTAAAAAAAAAGACGCGCCAATTGAAAAGGTTATACAGTTCTTTGGTTACAAAATGAATCAATTTTTGCTGCATGCTGACGTGGCTTCCCACTTCACTAATCTGCAGTTAGAGAAAGAGATCAGCGAGCTAAAGAAGCAACGGGATCTTGCTCATTCTCGAATAGATGATTTACTCAGAGCTATTGAAACTGATAAAGCTTCTTCGCAAAAAGACGATGAAATAATTCACTCCGAAAGTAGTTATTCATCCGATGATATATCTGATTTAAGCCATAAAACAGAGGACCTTCATTTGGGATTCGGACAAGATACCGACGAAATCTGTAAGGAAGTACGTTGCGTTGAGATGGACAAATCTGATGGAACAAACGAATCATTTGGCCAATCGACTAGTGAGAGTGAAGAAAGCATGCCGATTTTGTCCGAGTCTATAAATAGCCCCGTTCTGGAACAACATGCATTATCAGATTTACGTACACAAGCTACTGTTAATTGTAATTACGGTGAATTAAATCAGAAAATTCAAGATGTTGAGAAGACGATAGATTCTCTTTTCAAACAAAACCCTAATGCATCAACGTCTCCCCGGGCCCCATCGGCAAGTACGGAAGCTTCCGGAAGCTTCAAACTGACGAGAAGCCAAAGTTGTGGTAGAGCTAATGTAATGACTGCCTTGTCTGAATTTGAGATGTCTGAACAATTACAAAGCGAGAGTACACCACCAACTGCGTTGGAGAAGAACTTTGCAAGGAAGCAATGGAAGCTTCCTCCGGTTATTTACGGTACGGATATTGCAAGGCTTGCGAGAAACGATTCTCGATCTTCTGACTATAGTAGTTTCGTGGATGAAATAAGGGATCAAAACTACAGCCACGAGGAAGAGGATATTCCCACTCTCGGTTCTTTCGTCACTGGACTTAGAGAAATGGCAAAGATTCAGTATGAAAATCGAACCGGGCATCAGGTGAGAGTGATTTTAAAACCCAATATTATTTCTCGATTACTCGAGTTTATAGTGGTAGTTTGCTAAAAAAAAAATTGCATTATAGGGTATTTTTTGCTAATATTTATAACACGGGGATTTTTTAACAATTAGAGTAAACACATGGTGCTGAATGCAATAAAATCTAAACTATTCTCCAAATTGTCCTTATTTTTTCCCTCCTTCTATTCTTCAATATGTTAATTTTTGAATCATGTTTTATTTTATGTTGTTAGATTCAAGAGATAGAAAAGAGAGATGAAAATATAGCAGGAGATCAAATGATGAATGATTGGCCTCTAAAGTTTGAGAAATTGCAGAAATCGATAATCGAACTGTGGCAAACTTGCAATATTTCACTGATCCACAGGACATATTTTATCCTCCTTATTAAAGACGGCGTAAAAGATTCCATCTACGTAGAGGTAGAGCATAGGAGATTATCTTTTCTCAAGGAAATATTTTCCACAGGAACTTCGGTTGTACAAGATGGCCGTACTCTTACACTAGCATCAAGGTATTTATTTACTTCTCTAACACCGTCATTTCACATAGTATTTCCGTTTTCGCGCGGGATTTTTTTTTGAAACTTCCATTGGCCTGAAGATGATGGAATTGTTTTAATAACTACATAATTCGGTTTGATACATTTCATGCTTGTTTTTGAGTAATAGCAATGGTATTTGCTTGTTTCAAGAATAGGGGTGGAAATTGGAAAGGAAATTCCGAATTTTGCTGATTCCGATCCAAAATTTTCTGATCTAGGAACAATATTTTTCAATATGAATCCCGATTTTTCTAAAACAGAATTGGAATACGTATTAGATTTAGATTTCCGTTCCAATTTTAATTTCCAAAAATTCCGACCATTTTCCGAAAATTACACTTATAATATCAAAATATTATTATGTATTTTGTAATATCGATGACTGAAATTTTTCAATTTCCGAATTCAACCGATTTCGCTCCGAAAATCTCTGATTTCGGAACAAGTTTTTTCATTCCAATTTCCGTAATTCCGATTTTTTTATGGGACAAAATTGGAGATAATTCTTCCACTTCCGGAAAATTGGAATTTTTTCGAAAGTGCTAATTCCGATTATTTTTTCATTATCTCACATTCCCTTTTTTTGTTTCCATAATCACAGCCTGAAAATCAGTGGGCTTTTTTTTTAGTGTTCTTTTTAAAACTTAATTATATGATTTTCTTGGACTAACAACAGTAAGAAATCTCTTCGGCGCGAGAGAGAAATGCTGAGCAGGCTGATGTATAAAAGATACACCGAAGACGAAAGAAACAGAATCTACAAAGAGTGGGGTATTAATTTGAACTCGAAACAAAGGAGGCTACAACTGGTTCACCTTTTATGGACCGACACCGAAAAAACGGACCACATCACAAAGAGTGCTGCCATTGTTGCCAAGCTTATTGGTTTCTCGCACAACGGGCGAGCCCTCAAAGAAATGCTTGGACTTAGTTTTACGCCTCCACGTGTCGTCAGAAGATCATTAATTACCTGGAAAAAAACAGCGTGACATCTTTTTTTTTTTTTTTTTTTTTTTTTTTATGAGGTTTTCTCAATAGTTTTTAAGGTTTGATTAGAAATTCTGTTTCCGATGTTTAGGAAATGTTGTTGTATGGTTTGGTTTTGTGTGTCATATGCTTGAGATTTTGTTATCAAAATTTTCAGTTATTTATAGTTATATAAGTGTTGGTTTCCCTATTAGTTTTCACAAATTTGACCTTAACACCGTTTGATCTAAGCTCTAAAATTACAAAAAAACCACCCCTCTCAGTTTAAATAATTATTAAAAAAATAAAATAAAATAATAAAAAATTCTAGACAACGAGAAAACATAGTGTACAATAACAACCACAATTGTTTTTTATTTTTTTTATTTTATCTCGAATAGTAAGTAATATTCGAGAGTTGTCAAATAAATTTAATTTTCATTAGTAACGATCGAATTAAAAAAATGAAAATAAATTAGGAAATAAAATTCAATTTCAATATAATATTAATGGAAGTATTGGGCCGAGGTCAAAAGTCCTCTATAATACCGGTGAAGCAAATCGTTACATGAAACGGCGTCGTATTTGTTTTGTCTCATTTCATAGAATAGAGAGAGAAACAGTAGCAGAGATCAGAGAGAGAGGAGAGAGGAGAAATGAGTGTGGGTACGGCGTCGTATTTAGCTCGGCGAGCAGCACAGAAGGAGAGGGTTAGGATCCTCTACAGGCGAGCTCTAAAGGACACTCTCAATTGGGCCGTTCATCGCCACCTCTTCTACTCCGATGTAATTCTTCCTTTACCATTTATTTATGTACATTGTTTCAAATTCAAATCTCGATAAATAATTATCTATGTAAATCTATATATAAGCTCAAATATTATGTTGATTTTTTAGTATTTTTATGTTTTTTATTTTTATTTTTTATCAGGCTGATGCTCTCAGAGAGAAATTTGAGGCCAACAAACAAGTGGTTTGTTCTCTTCTCCAATTGATTTTTTTTTTTAATTCAGGAACATTGTTTTTTCAGTTCAATTTTCTGATAATTCTCTCATCGTTTTGAAAAAAAATGGATCTCATGCACATTTTTTCAAATATAAACATTAGGAAAATGGAATTATTGGCAAAAACTCAATAAATTAGTCACCTCTTTTCGATTACGAATTAAATTTGTTGCTATGCATAGTGGATTTTGCGCCCCGAGGCATCAGTAAACGAGAACAAATTTCATCATTTGAGAAATCATTAAAATTTCGCTCGGAAATGATATTTACCAACGCTCGAAAATGATTTGTATGTTGTTTATTTCTAATATGGCCTTTCAGGCGGATGTTGATGTTATCGACAGAATGATAGACGCTGGTGAAACAACCTACAATAAATGGCGGCACCCCGATCCGTACATTGGTAAATACTAGGATTTTTAAATTGGTTCTTATTCCATTCAAATAATTGTATTACATTGAAGAATGCATTCTTAGGGTTATTTCCAAGGGTAAATGAGTAATTTTACATGCTGAGCTTTCTAGTTGTTTCTTGCTGCTGCTAGCAGCCTAGCACGTTTACTTTACTTAGAATAAGTCGATTGGCATTAATAGAAGTATAAGAGCAAAATGATGCTTGCCTGTAATTTATAAATTATATAATGCAATTTAAGGTTAACTGGATAGATGCAGTTCTTATTGAAGTATCCAATTGTAACGGGTATTTGTTTGGCCACGTATTTCGATCACTAATACTCGCTTTCGGTGAATAGTTCCATGGGCTCCAGGTGGCACCAAATTTTGCCGAAACCCGACGCCACCTCCTGGGGTAATTGATCTAAAACCTGTTTTCTTGTGCTTTTTTGTTTCATTTTAATTTTTTTCTCTCTCTCGTTTTTTTTTTTTTTTTTTATTTCAAAGAAATTATCTAGTTTGCTGTTAATCGGATTATTTAGTTTTGATTTTTTAATGATGCATCAGCTGTCTTAAAATGTGGGCAAAGTTTTAATTTTTTTATAGTTATATTTCAATTCTGTCGTGGATGCTTAGCTGTATATTCTCGTGTTTAAGGAATAATTATATCTTTTTTGTGCTTAAATAATGTGATGGCATAAATTACGCACGATTCTTTATTTACACTTCTTTTCCTGGCTCGTTGACTGTTTAGTTAGTTACTACCCTGGAATTTATTTTCCATTACAATAGGGCTGTCGATAATTAGTTTTCTTTCTTCGTCTGCGTTGATATTAACAAGAACAATTAATATATTCTATAATGCAATGCTCCGTTTCATCTTGAGAATCGTGACTTTAAGCAATTGTATGTTATCTGATAAATTCCACAACTTATTTTTTTCTTGTTTCTGCAGATTGAGATAATCTACAACTTTGGCCGGGAAGATAATGACTGAAGTACAACGATTATTCTTGAAAATAAATAAATAAAAGGTCGATAATCTCTTCTTACTTGACTTATTCTTACTATTTTCGTGGCACAGTGAGATGGGCGAGAGAGAAAAAAATCTGGACAGAAAAACCTAATATCGAACTCGATTTTGATCATGTGTGTAGTTTTACAATATTAGATTATTGTATCTGGAGGCAGCTATAATGTTATATATTTGTTAAAAAGAATTACGACTTACCACATTTATCGTAAAAATGCTGAGATATTTGTACATAATAATAATGCAGGTTGTCGGTATAGAGAGGTGGGGAGTGATGATATCAACTGGTTCGTGTTGCTCGAGTTGGATCAAATTTTTGGACCTTTGATTTCGGTATTGTTGATCAGCATTTCTTTTCGATTCTCGAACTATCCTTAGTTTTCATTTTTAGTTTTACCCTTATTTAAATCTGTAATATAAGTTTGTAATAACATCAATAAAGACACATGCATAAAAAAGCCTACCATTCATGTTAGATCTGCTAAGATATACTATTAGTTTCTTTTTTTATTTTTTATTTAAAAAATCAAGTAATTCGAAAGTCATATAAGTACGACAATAAATCATTTTTTTAAAAAAGATCAAGTATTTTCAACTGTCGTAGCGATGCATAAAAGGGAAAAAGAGAAGAAAATAAATAATAATAATAATAATAATTATTACTATTAAAAAAAAGAATAAAAAAAAGAGGTAAGTTTGGTGTGGATGTGGGCAGCTGGTTGATGTGGCTGTACAATAACGACTCAATTAAATAAAAAAAAAAAAGAAATAAAGAAAGTGGTGTCGATATATTGGTCTGAAATTCTTCATCTCAAAGACTGTAATGAAAATGGAGGTCTGTAGGGCCACATCAATTTCTTGGGCAAACTCCATTTCTCCGCCTCACCATTTTCCCCAATCTTCCACAGTTCGTTAATTCTCTCTCTCTCTCTCTAGATTCTCTCTCTAAAATATATATAAATATGTTTAAATTTTTTAATGCATTTTTCAAATTGAGTAGCCTTCTTGTTATATCTTCTTTTTTACAGGTATGGAAGTTTCAAAGAATGACAACTTTCTGTGTTAGGTCATCTCAGAATGTAATGCACTAATCCTCTCTCAGTAGTCTCTCTCTCTCTCTCTCTCTCTCTCTCTCTCTCTATACACATATATATATATATATATATATATATATATATATATATATATTATATATATATATATATATATATATATATATCTCTAGATTAAATTTATACTAAAGAAGAATATGCTGAAAACTAAAGAATTTAACAGTTAAATTGCTTCAAAATGTAAAGTGGTAAAAATTTAACAATGTTATATATATATATATATATATATATATATATATATAAGTTTCGAAAGTTTTTCGGTGAATTTATTCGTGCAATGGATTGCTTGTTTACTATGAGCATTCTTCATCTGCAATTTATTGAGTTAATGGCAGTATTTACTCTGTTAGTACAAACATATTTTACTTTAATTGCAATTTTTTATTTTTTACAGCAGGGAGATGAGATGATTGTTTCAGTAACCGGCGCCACGGGTTTCATCGGTAAACGATTGGTTCAAAGATTGCACGCAGGTACATTTTTCCCACATTCCATATTAATTATCACTCAATTCATCATGAACAAATTGAATTATATTTGACTTGGTTACACCTTCGGAATATGTGTAGATAATCACCGTGTGCGAGTTCTGACGCGCTCTAAGTCAAAAGCCTTGTCGATTTTTCCGGGTAAGAAGGTAATGAAGCTATATGTTAATTTTTCGTTCCTTTTCTTGATATCAAAATGACAAATTTATTCCCTTTTTTTTTTAAAGTTCATATTTTTTTATATGTTTAATTTATTCATATATATATACTAGTGAGGGAATTTCCGGGACTCATAATAGCAGAGGAAGCAGAGTGGAGAAACTGCATTCAAGGCTCGACAGCTGTCGTAAATCTCGCTGGATTGCCTATTAGCACCAGATGGTCACCCGATGTATGCTCGAAATTTTATCAACTTTTTTTTTTTTTTTTTTTCTAAGTTCAACTTAAGCTGTATTAAATTTATATCTATATTTATTAACTTTCTGTTCGGATGTTGTTAAGATCAAGAAAGAGATCAAGGAAAGCAGGATTAAAGCAACTTCCAAAGTTGTCGATTTAATTAACGGTTCGCAAAACGAACGTCGTCCAAAGGTTCTGATCAGTGCAACAGCAGTCGGCTACTACGGTATGCATCGCTATATTATTATAATTGCTATTTGAAATATCGTCACACAACAAATTTAATAAGCTGCAATATTTAGCAGATTATTAAACATTTTGTGTTTGTTGTTTCAGGCACTAGTGAAACGCGAGTCTTTGACGAGCAAAGTCCGTCGGGAAATGATTACCTAGCTGAGGCAAGTGATATTATTTTTTTTAATACAAAATATTTTTTTAGTGATTTGTTTAAATTAAATAGTCTAATTCGATTATTTACGGGTTCCTCAGGTATGTAGAGAATGGGAAGCATCGGCTCTAAGAGTCGACAAAGATGTTAGACTAGCGTTGATTCGTATTGGTGTTGTTCTTGGTAAAGAAGGCGGTGCTTTAGGTAACTTTTTACCATTCTTTACTACTTTCGGAATGCCGTTAATTTTCTAATATCAAAGTTGGGAGATTTATATTTTACGTAAAGATTTATATTTTTAAAGTTGCAATTTGAATTGAAATGAACTCAACGAGTGATCGAGCTAACATAGGGGCACAGGGGGGGCCATGACCCCCATCGTTTCTAAAAAAAACTAGTATTTTTAAAATAGAAATTTATTATTTTTTGAGTACATAATGTTTAAATTGTAACTGCTATATTCGTAAAAACTGGTGTGTTTTTTTAATTAATTCTTCATATTAGATAATGTCGAAATTGTAATTTATTGACTCCTTTTCGGAATCTGTTACAGCTAAAATGATACCCCTCTTCATGATGTTTGCTGGTGGGCCTTTGGGAACCGGAAAGCAATGGTAAAACTCTCTTAGGACTTGTTTGGCTGTTTTGAGGATTTTGTAAACAAAAAAAAATCAGTTTTTAATAACATACGTTTCCTTATTTTTTTCTTTGTCAGGTTTTCGTGGATTCATGTTGACGACTTAGTAAACTTGATCTACGAAGCTCTATCGAACCCTTCTTATAAAGGTGACGAAAAAAGTTTGTGAATCTTGCATTATAATATTTCACACGTGGATCTCGTTTGGCCATAATCCTATATCGCCAACCAAACGAGGCCTTAGGAGATAATCAACACAATACGTATATATATGCATTAGAATATTAATAAATTACGAAAACGAGTCGATTGGATTAATATTAATATTATTTGAAATTTTGAAAAAAAAACAGGAGTGATAAACGGTACAGCACCGAACCCTGTTCGACTATCGGAGATGTGCGATCAATTGGGGTCCGCTTTGGGAAGGCCCTCTTGGCTGCCTGTACCAGATATTGCCCTCAAAGCTGTTCTTGGTGAAGGTGCTTGTGTGGTAAGATTTAAAAAATTTAAAATTAAAAAAATTTTAATTAAATATATATTAATATTATAAATATTTCCAATTAAAATAAAAATCAATTTCTGGGGGCTTATTATTATTATTAATATTATTATTATTATTTAATGCAGGTTCTTGAAGGACAAAAGGTGCTCCCAAAAAGGGCAAAGGAACTCAGTTTCTCATTCAAATATCCCTACATTAAAGATGCTCTCAGATCAATCATGTCTTGAGAGAAAAAATATTTGTATTTATTGTTTTATTTTAAATAAATAAATTGTTTTCTACATTTTTTTCTTAAATAAATAATTATGTTGCTGGGAAGATGTAGAATGTGAACTAATTATAAATTATATATCTTCGATTATACATAAAAATAAGCACATTGTTAGAGAATTACTCGAATAGTATTGTTTACATCGCTCGTATGATTTATAAGTTATCCGAGAGTTGTATATTCCAAGTCACCCAAAAAAAAAAAAAGAAAAAAAAGAGAATAATCTAATAAATTTCGATTACACAATGAATTTTTACATAACAATAGAAGTTATCAAGACAGGATGGCTAAAGACTCCATCACTAACACCAACACCAACTTAAAATAAAAAAATAAAAAAGACAAATTATTTACAAGGATATAACCAAATAATTAAAATCCTTCAACCCTAAAATATCACACATACACACACACACACACACACACACAATATATATATATATATATATATATATATATATATATATATATATATATATATATATATATATATATATATATATATATATATATATATATATATATATATATATATATATATATATATATATATATATATATATATATATATTTTTAGAAGATTTCATAATTTAACTCAAAAGCAACACAATAATACAACTCCTCAATAATATTAACCATGAGTATTATTATTACCATTGCATGAAGAAGGAGAAGAAGATGCTGCATTATCCACCACCAAATAAGGCATCTTGTTAAAAGAAGAAGCAAGCTCACTGCTGATTCCAACAAACTCGTCCGAACGCGCCTTAAGTGTCTTTAACATGACCTCCGGATTGTGATTCATCGCCCGCAGCACGTCCCCACAGGAAGCCCCCGGTACAGCGTCGTCCATCACAGCAAAGCTCTGTGGGCCGTCACTCTGCGAAACACGCACCACGCTCGGCCTACCAAACAGGTTGTGGACCCCACCTAACGCCTCCTCGTAGGCCCCACCCAAAAACATCCCCAAGTAATAACCTCCATTCCCTTTTCCTCCCCCTTCTCCCAACTCGTGCAAACGCAAGCTCGATTTTCCGCCGATGAACTTGTCGATTTTCCCATCACTGTCGCAAGTTAAGTCGGACAAGATCGCCTCTTTTTTAGGACTTTCGGTTAGCCTGTGGATTGGAATAATGGGGAATAATTGGTCGATGCCCCAAAAGTCGGGAATCGAAGTGAAAATCGAGAGATTCACATGGTATGTGCTAACGGGTTCAGGAAAGCCGATTTCTTTAAACATTAATTCGCAACGGGCATCAACTGCAGCCATCTCTTCCATTCCCAAAGACCCTTTTTTGAACTGTTTGACACATCTCTCCTTCAACTGCTCTGCGTAATTCAACTGTTCGACACGTCTCTCCTTCAACTGCTCTGCGTAATTCAAACAAGATTCGTAGTCGTTTTTAGCTGCTGCTGCAGATAAATTTCGGTAATTAGCAAGAGCATCATCTTTCAATTGCTCCTCGAAATCAAGAGAAGAAATCTCCGGGGAATTACAGGAGCTTGTTGAATTCGAAACGGCTTCGAAGACTAAAATCGAGTGATGAGAAACGATTGCACGGCCACTTTCACTGCAAATGATGGGATGCTTTACACCTCTGCTGTCACATACACTACGAACGGATCGAACGACAGCCGAAGCATAATCTTGAAGAGTATAAGCAACCGAGTTTTTGGAATCCGAAGACTTAGAGCCGTCGTAATCAATACCAAGGCCGCCGCCTACATCAATAACTCCCATGTGGGCCCCAAGGCGGACTAATTCGCAGTATATTTGCGCAGCTTCATCGACAGCGTCGGCCAGTAAATTGGTTGAAGGAATCTGAGAGCCGATATGAAAATGCAGCATCCGCAAGCAATCGAGCATTTCATAGTCCCGTAATTTCTTCACAACTCGAAGAAGCTGCGATGTAGTTAACCCGAATTTGCCCTTTTCGCCTGAGGTAGAACCGAAATGGCCCGAATGCTTAGTCCTCAGCTTAGCACGGGCCCCAATTACGGGCCGGACACCTAGCTTCTTGCTGACTTCGATTACGATATCGAGCTCTTCTTCTTGCTCGAGAACAATTACAGTGTTTAAATGGAGCTTTTTCGCAACGAGAGCAAGAGATACGAACTCCACATCTTTGAAACCGTTGCATACCAATAGTGCATCGGGGCTTCCACTACAGAGGGAGCTCATCGCTAGGAGAAGCTCTGGTTTGGACCCGGCTTCGAGCCCGAATTTAAAGCCCGACCCGAATTTCACAATGTCTTCAACCACGAACTTGTCTTGATTGCATTTCACTGGGTAAACGCCCTGATAGTGAGAGTTGTATTTCTGGGATTCGATTGCTGAATCAAAGGAGGACTGGAGAGACTCGAGTCGATTTTTTAGCACGTCGGGAAAACGGACAACGAGCGGGAGCCCGAGCCCGAGCTCGAGCCCGTCGGAGGTTTCCGGGCCGGAGGCTTTTTTCACGACTTTGAGAAGATCGATCTCTTGGTGAGCTAGGGTTTGAGCGCCGTGAGGGCGGACGGAGATATTTCCGTTTGAATTGACCGTGAAGTAGGGCGCGCCCCACCCCTCCACCCGGTACAGCCGCGACGAGTCGGCCGGCGACCAGGCAGCGGTGGAATCAGAGGCGGCGGCGGCGGCGGCGGCGTCGACGCAGCAAGTGAGTGGAGGCATATCGTCTTCACCGATTTCTTCACGATGTATATACTTAGTTTTTTTCTGATGGGCTGGAAAATAATTTTCAAAAAAAAAAAATCGAAATCTAGAAAAAAAAAGGATTATATTATCTGTAACACCTGAAATGGAAAGATGGTAGTAGGCAGGTGGGGGTTTTGAAACTCGCCGAGGCCGGAGCCCCGGCTACCCCCTCAAAACGGAGCAAAAAGCAATCCGGGTCACAACAAAACGGATCCCACGAGCTCGACTACAGGAACCCGATTTCCCCACGCCTATCCTCAGAAGAAGAAGAAGAAATTAAACACACACGGCGGCGGCGAGGAATTAAAATGGGATTCAGGAATTAATCAATACGAATTTTAATCCCACCATGCAGACGAATTGGTTTTAGATCAGAGAGTGGATGAACTTGCAGAGAGGGATTTGGTACGACGGAAACCTAACGGCGACGGGAGGAGTAAACGGCGACGAACGGATTCGGAATTGCTTAACGAGGATCGTGAAAGATTTGAAATTGAGCGTGAATTGCATGACTGGCGAAATGGGAATTTATAGGGGAGAAGAGTGGGAAACGGGCCGGTTTTTGGGGCCGGTTTATATCGGTTTTTTCTTTTATATATATAGAATATTTTTTAATTTAGATAGTGAAAAAGTATAGGGAAAATTACTACCACCCTCCTGAGGTATAGCCAAATTATGAAAAATCTCTATTGTTTGGGTAATTACAATTACCTCTCCTTTTAAATATTTTTACATAAAATTTATTTAATTATGTTATTTATTGAACCAAATCGTATATTCAGTTCGGTAAACGGTATGAAATGTTGGCGTACCGAAATTTTGGTTCGGTTTTACATATTTAACATCCCTAAACTTATTTTGGAGGGGTTTTTTCGTAAAATAATACATAATTGAGGGCGTGACTGTAATTACCCAAATAAAAGAGGATTTTTGTAATTTGCCCAAAATTACAAGTATTTGAATTTGGTAGGTTTGAGCGTGTCAAACTCTTCGTGGAGGGAAAAGTTGAATCTAAAAAGTTTTTAATTATCAATAATTAATTCATTTTTACTATTATATCCTACATCGTAATTGTATATTCCACGTTTTCAGTCTTTTTTTCGTCAAGATTTCTCTCTAAATTTCTTCTTTCAACTGTAGCGGCCCATCTCTCATTCCAACCGTAGCCGCCCGTATTTCTTCTTTCTACTACTGTCGCGGCCTTATTTATTCTCATTTAAAGTCGGCGATGACCACCGATGAAATATTTGATTTCGGCGATGACGAGATTTAAAGCAATCGATCTACCTCCAACATTACGACAACAACCACCGACAAACTCTTCGACTATTCTAGCTCAAGGTTCTCTCTCTCTTTAAGAGTACTATTTCCTATTATTGCATTTTATTGTCCTCTTTGTTATTTTTGTAACTGTGTTTATAATGGATTACGTTAATTTACAGTGGCTTTCAAATTTTTGCCTTTGACGAGGGAATTTTTTCAATGGATTAAACTAACACCTCTTTGTCTTCTTTTTATGATGCTTGGATAGTAATATAATAGATTTTTGAAAATTATTCTGCATTTAAAGGGGTCATGTCTAATATAGAATTTAGAATTAAGTCTATCGTTCTATGAAAATTCATTGAGGGGTTTATCAAATAGCCCTTTCACGGACATGGTCGGACTTATCAACTTTCAATTGTTGCGTGGCGATAAACGAACCCACTTGATTTTTTTATTTTTATTATCATTTTTCTTTAACATTATAAAAATCTAAAATTCGATTTTTTTACCAAATTAAAACAAGTAGCATAAGAGATTTGATTTTGTTATAGAATAAAATTTATATTATATATATAAGATAGGCCTATACACGAAAAGTACTATGAATAAAATATTATTAATATAACTTATACTAGAAATCAAGAGAATAGTAAACCAAGGAGATAAAAGTTTGATTGGTAATGAAAGCTGTGATTATTTCCTCTGGCAGCTGATTTGAGTGGCATTGCTTGTAATACTTCTTCTATATACTTTAATACAATATAAATTTTATTCCACAACGCGTAATCAATAATGAAATGTATTCTCGAGTATGACATTGTTAAAACTATAGCAGGTTCCGTGAATATAATAGATGACTTTGGGATTATAACAATTGTGTTGCATAGTGATACCACTTTGCATATTAGAAATGCATTGATGTCCAGTGGATCAAATAAGAATCTACTGAGTTTTTAATGATGCGAGACGCAATGCATATCATTTAGAAACATTGGTTGAAAATATCGTGGATTACATATGTATGTTGACAGTATTGTTCACGAAAAGTTCGAAGCGACAACTTCTTGACTGTATTGTGTCCAAATTCGAGCTTTTGAATATTATATACTATTATTTCATGAAAACTTGTTAATCTCGATATACATGACATGATCGACTGAGTCATCCAAGAACTATGATGCGTATAATTGCGCAAAATACTAAATGACATACCACTAAAATATACAAAAATCTTGACGCGCACGGCCTGGATTCGAGTTGTGCACTCTCTTTTTTTATGCTCCATCGTGGATTCGGGTCGACAGCTAATTTGAGTGACATTTCGGAATCGTAATTTTAGTAATAGGTCCTGATTTAATTGAATCTGCCACCCGATTATGAAACCGACTCGATACCATGACCAGTCCGACTATATACGAGCCCGGTTAAAGATTGAACTTCGAATCAATCTTCCTATATATATATATATATATATATATATATATATATATATATATATATATATACATAGTATGAGTAATATTTCCAGCAAAACTAAGAAAACACTGGACTGTATAGCTTTTACTATACTAGGAAATTTTTTCTAAATAACAGAGCCAAAACTTCCCATTCGGTACAACAATTCACAGGGTACTATATAATACGAGTAAACGACTAATGTCAGGACAAAAGAAATGAATATTTGATGAAAACACAATTCATGTTCAAGTTCACGGCTTCGAAAATACACAAAATCGAATAGCCAATAAGCTCACGGCTCCATAAGCTCTTATTTAGCAAGAAAAAAAAATCTAATTCTATAAAATATAGCACAAGGTACGAGGGATTCAGTGTGAAAACAATAAAACGTAAAAAAACGTCAATGTTGAAGAATAATCATAGTACAACATGGTCACTAAAAACAGCCACAATTGAAATTTCTTACCATTCTGAAATGAAATTTAATTACTGGCTTTTTTTCCTAGTCAGCTCTGGACTGGCCAGCTCGTGAAGATAAAATAATTCCGACAATAAGACCATAGAGCGCCAAAGCTTCAGCAAAAATGAGAATAAGAATCATCCCGACAAATAGCTTTGGTTGCTGAGCATTAGCCCTGTAATTAAAATCGCACGTTGATTATAAGAAAAGCAAAAAAAAAAAAGGAAACAAAGAAAACACAAAGTTCAATTGCGAAATTCCAAATCGGCATAAGTTGAACAAACTTTGAAATATCTAATAACAATGAAAGTATGTGATCTTATTCATATTTGTTTTCGGTCCTTCATATAAGACCATATTAAGCACATCTTATTTCAAAATATTTTCTTATTTGGTAAAACGAGGATAAAAAAAAAATCAAAAGTTGTCAGTTTCTGAGTCAACTCAGCCAGATTTCTATATGTCAATACAAGGAAAGTATTCTATATGCTTATGCAAGACCATATTTGATCGACTGATAATTCTTATTACAAATTTTATTCACCAACAAGCGACAGAGGGTGGATAGTAATTAACAATAAAAAAAGGTCGACGAAAATTCATTCCGTAACAGAACACTGGTTTGATTTCAAAACCGGACCTCACTAATCTTGAACAGCTTCATACACAACTACCGATTTTATCTAGTGAATCATAAAGCCATTTCTAATTGAGTCCAGCTTTTCTTTTTTCAGAAACCAGAAACATCTGCCATCGAGGCTCGGGATACCAAACATGCTATCGACCTATAATTTCATTTAATTTCACTACAACATTTGAACTAGAAACACAAAATAAAATTAAAGTCACCTCGTTAAACTATATCGAAATCAAGCCCTAATTATCAAACTCAAGCCTAAAGTTCAAGTTAGTACAGGCGATAATGCTACTTCCGCAACAAAGTAGCATCCCTACCACTAACAGTCTCATAAGCAAAATTAAAAAAAAAAAATCAAGTTTCAATATTAAGATAGTATAAAATCCGCTAATTCATACCTAACACCAGCATCTCCGACAATCCCAATAGCCATTCCAGCAGCAAGTCCAGCAAGGCCACAAGACAAGCCAGACGAGAGATGTGCGTAACCATCGAAAAGGTAATAAGATTTGGCTTTAGGGTTAATACCCGTGCTGATAATTACAGCAATAATCAAACCGTAAATACCCAAAACACCAGCCATGACAACTGGCACAATCGACTTCATAACGAGCTCCGGCCTCATTACCCCCATCGACGCCACACCGACGCCACTCTTTGCTGTCCCGTAAGCCGCACCCATGCCTATACAAACAAAAAGCAAATTAAATCAAGATCCAATGCGTAACGTATAAATAAATCAGCAAAATACAATTGAAAATCTAAGATCAAAGATTTTATGAGAAGTATTGAGAACAGCAGATTTTGAATAAGTACTTCATATAATCTTTTCAATTTTCATATAATCTTAATGACATGGAGAAAAACTGTAAACACGGAATATCAAATTCAGTAAAAGGGAATCCGAATTCCGAAGTACAAAATTGTAGTCAACTTCAGCTGAAAAAACACCATATATTAATTTAAAAAATAAAAATAAAAGCCAGATCATGAAATCAGACATGACAAATTAAGAAAAAAACTCAGCGAATAACATCCAGATCAGCAATAAATACGTACGAGAATAAGAACTAAAGCGAAAGAAAAAAAAAACGCTGTATTTGGGGGAACTCATGGGAAAACAATCACAACGCAGCAAAATTTGTACTATTTAACTATCAGAATTACAGACAATAATCAAACAATCAGCAAATATAAGAACAATTGAATCGAGATCAAAAAATTTACAGGAGAAGACGAGGGCCGCGGCGGCGCCGAGGAAGCCGAAGAAAGGGGCAGTTTCATCGCCGCTGAAGGTCGAAGACATTATTTCCGATCGAAATTACTTCTGAATTTCGATTTATTCAGTCTTCTGTTAGGGTTCGGATTTTAGATCTCTCTCTCTCTCTCTTCTCTCTCTCCTCTCTCTCTCTCTACGTGTGTTTGTGTGTGGATATTGGTGTAGAAAGAGCTGATATTATTGAACGAGACACATCGTTAAACACGTGGCTTATTTGATTTCCAATTATTGTTTGGGTTTTTTGGGCCGCATTAACAATTGGGTCAGCTCCTAGATTTATTTTGTAACCGAATATTAAATTGTTAAAGTGCCGCCGCCCATTTAAAGGCCCAATTGTTAAGGTATAAGAGAATCAACACTATATATATCACTTAATTTAGGGGAAACTACAGTTTGCACCCCTGAACTATGGGGTCTGTCGCAAACACCCCCCTGGACTACAAAACGTGACAAAATGGCCCCTCCGTTTTTTGGTCAAACGTTAGAAAATTAACACCGTTAATTTAAGAGTGTAATTACTTATGTACCCTTGTAACTCTAACATGGTCTGTATTGTGTGCAGACTTATCATTCCTCTCACTTAGACAAAAAACGTTTCTCCTTCACTCCAAGAACGTAAGATCGAAATTCTCCCAAAATCTGATTTCTTTGCTCAAATTCTTCCATGGTTCGAATCATCTGAAAGCGTTGATGTCTGAAGACGTCTGAAGAAATTTGGAGGCAAAAAAATCAAGAAATCTAAAGAGAGACAAAGGTTAGTGTTGCTTTTAGGGCTTTCAATTCCACCTCTTTTTTTCGTAGTTATGTAATGGGTTTGTTTTAAAAACAAATTTCTTGTGTTTATGGTGTTTATTTTGTCCATTTCGATGTTAAATTGGGGTTTATTTTGTCCATTTCGATGTTAAATTGGTATTTTGAGAAAATTAGGGTTTTGCAAAAATCTTTTTCGATTTTTTGGGGAATTAATTTGATTTGGTCTTAAGATTTATTTTTTGGATTTTTTGTTGGTAATTTACTATTTTCCAGAGCAATTTTCATAAATATTGTGACTTTTCATGGGGTTTTGCTTTCTTTTGGTAATGAGATTTAATTTTGGGGTTTTTTTTGTTTGTGCAACTTATGTGCATTTGATTAATTGATTATTTTTTCTTTTATTTAGGAAAATATGTTGGGTGATCAGCTGTATACACTTAGGATTAACTACGGGGGGAGTTTTGGTGGTGAATGGGGTAGGTATATCAGAGGCAAGGTACACATTGTTAAAGATGTTGACCCAGATTTGATGTCATATTTCGAGATAATTGACTTAGTTAAAGAAATGGGATACCCTGCAACTACTGTTGTTTGGTTTATAATGCCTGCTAAAGTTGAATTGAAGCTGCTTGATAGTGATATTGTTGTGATGGAAATGTTTAGATTGTATGCTTCTGCATGTGTGCACCC